CGTGCTTTGCATGTTCTATGAATGTTTTCTAGTCACTTATATTGATACCCAGACAAGAACTGCATGATTTTATTTATAAGGATTGAAAAATCCATTGTTTAAAAAATTTCTAATTCTACAAATAAATTCTAAATAAAAAAACCCTGAAGGTATATTTCTGATTATAACATAAGCCCTCATCAGTTATGGCCAGTATATATTCGCATCATATTGTTGCGGTTTGCCCCTCCGCGGTTCTTCGCAACGACGTCCGAGACGTCGGATAACCACTGCTCAAGTGGAACTCTTTTCCTCTGGCAGTATCTCTCGGCCTTACCACTGGTGGGGGGACACAAGAGACTTACCAGAAGAGTAGCAGCAGCGATGGCGAGAGTAACAACAACAACCGGCACCGAGACTTCTAACACTCCCTCTATTATTGTCACTTCTACTACACATTACATATAACTAGCATAATAAACAACGGGTATTTACATTACTCCACCTCCTGGGGCCAATATAAACGTGTATTAACAACTATATGCTCCAGGAAATAGGACCACAGCAGTCGGCGATATCCGCACAAGTTCCAAACGGGAAATAGGCGAAAGTGCCATCTATTGGCGGAGGCTGAGGATGTTTTCAGGCCTTATACATGACACTGCCTCCCCCTTAAGGCGGATCATCCCGGTCCGGTCTTGTCGCCTTGATTACACGCCAATCTCGCTGGTGCCGCTTCTGTTGAAGGTGATCATCTTGAAATTTCTTTGAAGAAAATATGTAAATTGTTCAAGCTGTTAGATGTTATGTATACAAATTCCTTATTGTAAAAAGTATTTTTTTTAAATTAGATTTATTTGCATATCTGATGAATGTATATAGAATTTTTTTTCTTCAGTTGGTTGCTGGTGAAGTGTAGATGAATGTGTAGCAATGTATAATAAATAATTTTTGTGGGATAATAGAACTTCTTGATTTTCTTTAAAAAGGCAAGATAAAAATCTGTGCACAACAACAGCTTCTCTTGCTGGAACTGCATCTCTCTTACTGGAACTGCCTCTCTTGATGGAACCGCCTTTCTCGCCGGAGCTGCCTCACTTGCTGGAACCCTCTTTCTCGCTGCAGCTGTCTTTCTCGATGAAGTTGTCTTTCTCAATAGAGCCGTCTTTCTCGCTAGAGCCGCCTTTCTCGCTAGAGCCGCTTTCCTCCCTGGAGCCGCTTCTCTCGCCGGAGCTGCTTCTCCCGCCGGAGCCTCCCCTTTTGCCGGTACCGCTTCTCATGCCGGAACTGCTTCTCATGCTGGTACCGCTTCTTACGCCAGTAGCGCTTCTTATATCGGTACTGCTTCTCTCCTCTGTACCGCTTTTTGCGACGAAGCCGATTCTCTCGCCGGCACCGCTCCTCTCGCCGGCACCGCTCCTCTTGTCGGGACCATCTCTCTCGTGGCATTGCTCGCTGGCACCGCTTCTCTCTCTGGCACCATTTCTCCCGAGGGCACCACTTCTCTCGCCGGCACCGCTTCTTTCGCTGGGGCCGCTTCATTCACGGCTCTGCCTGAAGCAGATTCAGGGTCTGTCCTGGAGGATCCACAATCAGGCCTTCCACTCTATGGAATTCCTCTATGTGACCCGGCTCGACCTCCAGCCCCCAGGACTCCTCCTGGCCCTCGCCGACATCACTCCCCAAGGTTGACTTTGACTGGGCCATACTTGGCTCCCTCTGTATATGGGCTTCCATTTGAGACAACAACTGTTGTATCTCTTTTCTTCTAAGAAGCCTTCTTTCCTCAAATTCTTTTTCCATCAGAAGCCTTTCTTCCTCTCTACGGCGCTTTGCCTCGTCCCTCTACTCCTGATGTCCCTGTAGCCTCTGGATGATCTCGGCTAGCGAGTCCTGCTCAGAGGCCATCCCTTGGCTTCTCACATCAATGGGCCTTTGTCAGCAACCAAAAATCTAAAAAAAGAGCCTCCTGGTGACTTCCACGAGGAAGAATCCCACTTCTGACACCAGTGTCGCGGTTTACCCATCCACCGTTCTTCGCGACGACAACGCTTCCTCCCTCTTTGCTCACCTACCCGGGCCCCCGTTGCTCTCCCTCTGCAGCTGTCCCTGCAGAGCATCCAAAGACGTCCGAGAACCACCGCTCAAGTGGAAATCCTTTCCTCTGGCAGTATCTCTCGGCCTTACCACTGGTAGGGGGACACGAGAGACTTACCAGAAGAGTAGCAGCAGCGATGTGGCAATGGCGAGAGTAACAACAATAACCGGCACCGAGACTTCTAACACTCCCTCTATTATTGTCACTTCTACTACACATTACATATAACTAGCATAATAAACAACGGGTATTTACATTACGCCACCTCCTGGGGCCAATATAAACGTGTATTAACAACTATTTGCTCCAGGAAATAGGACCACAGCAGTCGGCGATATCCGCACAAGTTCCAAATAGGAAATAGGCGAAAGTGCCATTTATTGCCGGATGCTGTATGTGTTTTCAGGTGACAATATTAATGATATTATTATATCGACTATGACTGGATATTTTGATTTAGCCAAGATACATTAATGACATATATTTTGCATTACATTGCATTGAAAAGCAGGGTTTGCAACATTGTCTATACCCAGCATTGTGCTACTCCTACAGTTTATCCCTGGTGAGTATGGTCATATATCTTTAGGCTATTTTATCAAATCTTTAATTGTGTCTTAGATTGTTCACAAATGTGTTTCCCATTGGTTATTATTGTGAAAGTTGCAGAAGCTGAATGCCCTACAGTTATGGAAATAAAAGACTATAAGATTGATGCCATAATATAACATATTATCCCAACTCCGCCTTTGCCGGTCCCAAGCCGGGATGAAAAAGGAGGAGGAGGAGCAGTAACAAGCTCACTAAAAAACCTGGGCTCAGCTGGCCCGGCTGATAGTACCCTGTAAGGGCTCCTTATCCAAGGATACAGGATGAGCAGCGTTTGTACTACATGTTAGGAGCGGCTGCACATGGCGTCTGTTCCTCATGTCAGAGGCGGGCATTTATTTTAGAGATAAGTCGGCCTGCCACTGGGTAGTGCTCACAGTCTTAATGACAAAGGCAGACGCATTCGACTTCACCCAGTGTGGAGATAAGAAATAAGAAGAAGACATATTATCCCTAAAGGTAAAGACTCTTCTAGTAAGGTATATCAATTAAGGAGGATCAGAAGATGAGTTTCTTTTATTGTAAGAATGCTACGAGCTTTCGGGCAAAAGCCCTTCGACAGGCAAAAATATAACTATAAAAGAAAGATAAATAACGATTTATATATATGTTAATCTTAACTGAAAACCGATTTTTGAATAAAGTAAATATTAAATCTGCTGTCTGAGACCACGAGACGGCGCATGGTTTGGGCTATTGAAATAAACATGTGGGAGGTTTAAATGTAGTTTGTGTAGGCTGCGGGGATGTCTATTTTTCTATTTATGCTGTGTAGCTTGGATGAAACTATGGATTCTAGAACCAATCTCTGGTGTAGGTTGGAGATATTCCTCCACTGATCCTCTAACATCTTCTGGAGCAGTCTACTCGGTCTCGTGCCAACAGTGTCCTGCCACCTATGTGGGGGAGACCGGTAGAACCATCGCCATCAGAATGACCGAACACACACGCAACATCACCAACCGAGATACCCGTTCCCTTATTTTCCAACACATTGCATCTTCTGGCCATTCCTTTGACACTGCTAACCCAACCATTCACTACAAAAATATCTCCAACCTACACCAGAGATTGGTTCTAGAATCCATAGTTTCATCCAAGCTACACAGCATAAATAGAAAAATAGACATCCCCGCAGCCTACACAAACTACATTTAAACCTCCCACATGTTTATTTCAATAGCCCAAACCATGCGCCGTCTCGTGGTCTCAGACAGCAGATTTAATATTTACTTTATTCAAAAATCGGTTTTCAGTTAAGATTAACATATATATAAATCGTTATTTATCTTTCTTTTATAGTTATATTTTTGCCTGTCGAAGGGCTTTTGCCCGAAAGCTCGTAGCATTCTTACAATAAAAGAAACTCATCTTCTGATCCTCCTTAATTGATATATTATCCCTAAATTTGAGAGTTACTTTAGCCGTATAAAATTCTCTGCAGTTACTACTATCTGGACACCTAAATTGACATTACTAGAAAAGCTCACTTGAGTGTTTGAGATAGTACAAGTCTGCTTTTTTTGCAGAACAGCAGATCTCTATCATTTCTTGTTGAACATGATATCTTAAATAATCATTCAATAGATTGGCAGAATGGAAAAATTATCGACCGAACTATACCAGAAATACATTGATTAGTGTTTATGGAAATATATATAGACCCCTAAATAACATTAGAAAAAAATCTATTATCTACAATTCAAAAATTGATCAGGATCACCCCATGTTTACCTTTGATGTACAAGGAAAATATATATCTTCAGATTTTCAGAATGTTTTGATAGAAAAAAAGTTTTGCCCTTCAAAATGTCAAAATAATTTTAAAATAAACTGTATCTTAATACAAATTATGCCTCATATTTAAATATGAATTGGGAAATTTTATTTTCAAATAATTTATTAGTTTTATTAAATTACTAGCGGATGTACCCGGCTTCGCCCGGGTTTTACCCGAGTAAAGGTTTGTCTAATGAACATTTGTTAAAACAATTCTCTATAAACTTATTAAAAAATAATAGATATATTTGATAATTTGAAACTCTTAAATTTGAATCTCTCGATAAAGTGAACATTTTTTCCTGGTCCCTTGAAAAATACTCGATAAGTTGAATAAAATCAATATTAATTGGTTCCCTCGGTAATTGGAAGTTAAAGGAATAGTATCTTGCCTTGGAATTGTATCATTATTCTTGTCTCAAATAAATTGCCGTGTCATCCTGAATTTTGTCTTTCCTAATTTTCTACATTACAAAATCATCGTTTTATCTAGTAAACATTTTTTCCCGGTCCCTTGAAAAATACTCGATAACTAACTTTGACTTATGCGCAATTAATAGGTAGAAAATCTTACTTTTGATAAATAATCTTTAAGATAATAAACTTAGTGATAATAAAACTTATAGATAAAAAACTTGTTATCATCGTTGCAATCGGGGCGCTGCTTTCGAGTTAAATCTACAAATCTGCAAATAACTCTAAGGATATTCGAGAAATTATTTTTCAAAAACCTTCCCAGTACTATACTAAATAACTTCCCAAAGTTTCATGGTGTTCCAATGGGTGGTTTGGTCAGGCATAAAGGACAGACACACACACACCCACATACATTCATTTTTATATTTATATTCATTTTATTATATATATAAAAATTGAGTCTATTAAATATTTTTTGTTCATATCTATCTCTTTTCCTTACTTCATTATTCTTAATTTGAACAAAAATGTCTGTTAACCTTAAAATTAACACATTGAGCCCGTAGGATGTGGATCCACGTCCAAGCAATATAAGCCTAAAGCCCGCAGGACGTGGATCCACGTCCTGAAACTTCAAAATTCAATATAAATCGTGGCAAAATTCACGTCCTTCGGGCTTCTGCCATCAAATAGCTGCATCATTTGTCTACGTCAGCGCTCAAGGTCACACGCGGGGGAGGGTGAAAGGGGTCCCGTTGGGGGATTTTTCCATGACGTCACTTCTCCTCATGTTTCCTCCTTCTACCGTTAGCTTCCTGGACGGTTGTTATTTTATTTATTGTCATTTTTTTTTTTGCGCTCGCTTCTAAAATGGATCTTGATCAACCCAGTACCTCGGGAATAGCTCCAATTACAGAATCTGAGGAGTTTGGTGATGAATATTTTCAAGATTCTGGTTCAGAATTGGATGATTCTGTTATTGATCCAGATTTTATTTTGGATAATATGGTTCAGATGCAACTATCTAATACTATCTAAAAGAACTCCAGAACCAGAGCTAACAATGAAACCAGCAGTGGTTGTTGATTACAACAAAAATAAAGCTGGTGTTGATCGAAGTGATCAATACATGTCCTATTACCCTTTCTATCGTAGGACAATGAAGTGGTGGAAAAAGGTATTTTTGCACCTTTTCAACCTTGGTATCGTAAATTCACAAATTATTTACAATAAATTGAACCAGGACAAGAAATTGAACCTAGAGAATTCAATTTGAGAATTTTAGAAAAATTAGTTGAAGAGGCAGGTGTTGAAATGTTGGATGAGCAGCAAGGTGCTTCTGGCTCTCCAGATAGGCATTTGGGGAAACATTTCATAACCAGAATCAAAGTGGAAGGGAAAGAAGGCCATATATTCAGAGAAAATGTAAAGTCTTTTCCGAAAAAGGAAAAAGAAAAACAGGAAATAGAGCAAGGAAGGATACTGCATATATGTGTGAGACCTGTTTGGTCCCACTTTGTCTAGTTGACTGGTTCAAGATTTACCACACCAAAGAAAATTTTTGAGCTTAATCTCAATATTATTTGATTTCTTTATTTCCCTACATATTTTTTATTTTCTTTATCTAGATATGTTATATACATATATTTTTGCAACCATATATTATGGAGTGAATTCGATTTTTTGTATATTTTTACCTATTTTAAATGTCTCATATTAATTTTTTAATCATTTATAAAAAAGATTTTGCAGTCTTATAAGTTACTAGAAAGGGTATATAAGTAGTTGCAAATAAAATAATTAATGTAAGTCATCAATTTTGTGATTTATGAATTTTTTAACAACAATCAAAAAATGCGCGTCCCAGCGGAATTTGCCCTTCTTTTTCTCATGGGCTCAAAGTGTTAACACTTGAAGGTCGTAAGTACAGGTATGATGTAATCTCCCGGGACGTTCCATTTTGAGTGTTTTTTAAAAATTCATAAATCATTAAGAACTCGATATTTATAAAATATTTTAATGAGAATCAATAAAATACACTTCAAAATTATTGTTAAATGTAAATTTAAGATTATACATGTTAATTATAAGAGATATGTACATAAAAGAGAGATAAAAAATACAAATTGACCAAATCCACTCCATAAATCAAATATATAAAAATAATATACATGACGAATTTTTTTCTGAGGAAAAGATTGACGAGGAATCAAACTTTAATATAAATCACTCCCAGTAGCTCTCTTTTGTGTGAAAGGCCTTGAAACAGTCAGCAATGCATAAAGGAACCAGACAGGTCTCACACATATAGCTGGTGTCCTTCCTCACTCTTTTACCAGAAGATCTTTTTCCTTTGTCAGAGCAAACTTTGCACCTCTTCTGGATGGTGGTCTTGCCAGTAGCAGGGATTTTGGTGAGGAAATGTTTTCCAATCAGCCTCTCTGATGATCCAGATGCACTTGGCTGTTCATTCAAAATTTCTGTACCTGCTTCTTCCATCAACTTTTCCATGATAGCCAAATGTTATTTTCTAAGTGGCATTTTTCGACCCGTGGTCAATTTATTATATACAATATGGCTATTGACAATAGTGAGGCCGAAAATGTAAGAAAAACTTTTTCCACTACTTTAGGGTACGGCGATGAAAAGGATAATATGCCATAAATTGGTCACTTCTATCGACACCAGCCTTGTTTTTATTGTAGTCAACTACAATAGCAGGTTTGGTTATCGAAATGGTTTGAGGCTGGATCATGCTGGAATCTTGGGTTGTTGCTATCATAAAGACATCCCTGGTGTCACGCCATTTCAATGCGAGAAGCTGACTGTTTTGACAAAAGAGGCTTTCACCTTTTTTCAGTTTTTTCGAGAAAGCTTTTTTTGGCAATCCCTTTCTGTTATGCCTGACTGTTCCTACTGCAAGTGTTATCTTTTCCCATAAATGATTGAAAAGTTGGGGAGAGGAAAACCACCTATCGAAATAGATGATGTGGCCTTTCTGGTAGTAAGGTTCAGCAATCCTGTCAACTAAGCTCAATATAGAATTATATTGAAGGTCTTGATGAGGATGCCTTCCAGTATATATATCCATGTTACAGGTATACCCTGTACTTGATTCACAAATCTCATAAATCTTGATCCCATATTTATGAGGTTTGCCCTTTATATATACTCGGAAATGAGCCCGTCCACGAAAAGGACAAATGGCCTCATCAATTGTCAAATTTTCATCAGGCGAGTACCAGGTTCGGAATTTATTGACAAGGGAATCAAATAAGGTTCTTATCTTGTAAATTGGATCATATCCTGGTTGTCCATGTGGAATATATAGCATATTATCATTCAGATGGAGCATTGATAAAATGGCCTCAAATCTTTCCCTTGCCATTCCAGTCGATTTGCAGAAAGCTGTCCTCATTCCAATGTGGTTTGACCAATATTCTCTTAGCCTTGGTTTTACTACAAGGCTCATATGAATGATTATTGCCAAAAATATCTTCAATTCAGCAATTGAAACAGCTTTCCACTTTGCCAACAACCCTCTAGGATTCAAAGGGCCTTTCTTTCTCTCTTTATCAATCACCATCCTTGCATATTTGTTGGTTTCCAACTTTATCGTTCTAAACAATTCATCAAAAAACTGCTTGAATACTGAATAGGGAGAGAGAGTTCCAGGAAAGAAAGCTGCCTTCGGTCCAGAGGTTCCAGAAAATGTAGGCTTTTCCAAAGGTAATCTTACCTCGGTCCATCCTTCATCTTCAGGGGTAGGTTGTCTTATTTGCTAAAAAAAAAAAAAGTTGAAATATATGAATATGATGAGAGAAAAATAAAAAATAGTTACCTCTTCCTCACTTTCTTCATAATAAATTTCAGTTGTATCAGATTCTAGACCTTCCAAAGTAAATTGAGGATCTTCAATAGAATCATCTAGTTCAGACCCAGAATCTGCTAAGAAATAATCCTCCAACTCTTCATCAGCTTCAGGAACATTGAATATATCAATTCCTGAGGTACTGGGCATGTTGGGATCCATTTTTAGAGCGAGCGAATGAAGAACAAAAAAGATAGCAGCACTCTACGTCAAGGAAACAGTAGAAGATAAACAAATGACCGCACGTGGGTATATGAGTCACAAAAATGGAATCTGGGGGGAAGGGAGGAGAGGAACACGTGTTAGCAACTAGCCAATTGTTGATGGACACTTCAAGGACGTTGTACCCAGAATCCAGAGGAACGTACTTTAACGGCCGATTTTATACCGATTTTTAAAGATGCGGGACGTAAATATACGTCCGCCGGGCTGTAAGTGTTAATAAAATTGTTTACGCATGTTAAGCTCTATTTTTTCATTATGAAAATAGATTATAAAAGAATGTTTAGATTTTAGAAAAATACAGATAAACCTTTCGTGGAAATTCACACATTTTGATCAAGCAAAATTGCATTGTAAAAATATTGATTCCTTTCAATTAATTCATGCTTTTTAAAAAAGAGAGATATGGATGCTTTTAAAACTTCTTCAAACTCCCTGGTGCTCTCCTCAGTGGTACACCATCTTCACGGATACCTGCCTACCGACTCCACCATCTCTAAGCTCCAAGCTCGACTGGTGCGTTTCGTCTGGGGACCTGGGCGCACCGCCTGGCTGCCGGGAGGTGTTCTAGCACGCCTTGTCTCCATGGGTGGCTTCGGCCTCCTCGACGTCGGCACGCAGCTGAGACTGGCGTGTATGGAAGGTGTCCAAGCTTCGCTTCGTGGAAGTCTCAACGCCTACTCTTGGCTCACTGATAGTGGGGCCTGGTTAACTCCCCTTCCATCCGGGACATGGCTTCCACCTCGATGTCGTAGACTAATGAAGATATGGGAAGCAGTTTCAGACTTCCTAGCACTGGACCACCGGATAGTTCCAACACAACAGCTGAGGGACCTCGCCATAATCGGAGGATGCAGGTTCCTCCGGCCACCTGACCTCCTAGCCGCTGCACGGTGGATAGGAGCACGTATCGGGGACTTCGATGGCCCTGTGTCACAGCTCACTCGTCTGACCCGTTGCGCTCTTGCAGACGCCACAGCGTTGGCCAACTTCTGCAATAGGCTGATTGAAGAAAACCTCCTAGGGTCCCACCGGGCGGACAACCTAGGCGAAGCTGTGGTGCTACGCGGAATGGTGACTCCGCTCATGCGCGTAACTACCCGCACCATCCGCCGTACAATTGAGCGACCACGCCTGGCAACCCTGCCCATCGCCCAGCTTCTGTACCGTTGGCAAGACTGTCAATATTCCTCTCACCGTCGGCTGGCCATCGCTTCGACGTTGCGCCTTTTCAGGGCACAATGCCGACATTGCAGTACAGCTGGCCCTGCACGCTCTTCCCCATCCTGCACATCCGGCCTCTGCTCGAGAGACCTGTATCGCCTGTGGCTCTAGCGACCTGACGTTGGCCCACCGCTATTGGTCCTGCAGCTCCATCAGGCCCCTCATACGGGAGGCCTTCAACATCATACAGCAACCACCCGACCTGCAGGGCTGGCTCTTTGGTCAAGGACTGGATGACGACGCCCTCGCCATCCTCGCGTCTGCCAAGTCATCCATACACAGGTTCTTTCTGAGCCTTGAGATGAGGGGAGAACGTGAAAACCCCCTTACTGTCTGGAGGAGGACTCTCTGTCGTTGGGGGAATCTCCTCGACTGTACATAACTGTATATATTTTACTCTTTTACTTTATCCCTCTTTTATTTTATCCATTTTTACTATATACTATATACATTTTACTAAATATACTACTACCATTGACTTGTGTATGAGGTCAATAAAATATTTTTAAATCTCAAAATCTCTAGCCAATATCATAACCATTAAGGTATAGATGACAGGCCTGATATGACAGCCCCCCCCAATTTGTCTATACCATCTTTCATTTTCAAGTTTCAACAACCTCTTTTGACCCATTTAATAAAATAATCCATTGGTTAAAATTGCTTTTATGTATCACTTTATTAAATGGGTCAAAAAAGGTTGCTGAATGTTTAGTATTTTAGATATTATATAAAGAATATATATTAAACAATAAATATTCAAATATGTATTTACCTGTTAGAATGCAGAAGTGTCCGAGAGCCAGTGGCCTGATTAATGATAGCAGTAGTAACTGGCGAGTCCAGTTCATGAAATGTGCAGTGATCCAAGCAAATTCCATGTTTTTCAAAATCTTTCTTTAGGAATCTTCACACAAAAGGTAAAAAAAAAAAATTGCAAAGAAATTTTAAGGTAGCAGACTTTTAAAAATATATAAAATTGTTTATATAGCTAAATATGTCTGTAGTATTTTAATTAATGTAAATATAACAATATGAAATCATTTCGGGTACAGTAGAATCTTCATTAGCAGGCACATCGCCAAAATTTCCCTATTATTTAAAATTTGTTTTCACTAATAGGCATCTCCAAATAATAGACGCTTTGCAATGCTTTTGTGATTTAGAATTAATAATAAACATAAAATAATTTATATTCTCATCAGTAAAAATATCATTGATTTTATACAAGAGTGTTTTCAAATCCTGTTTTTCTATGACTTGAAACATATGCCATAGATTTCAATCTTACTCATAATTTTAACCCTTAACTGGACGGGTTGGGTAGATTCAACCCACCTATGTAACTTTATGAAATAAGCGCTAAATAATGATTGAAATCAATATTTAACATACAGAGCAAAGGGTTTTTTTTTATTTTTTACTGCGCCTTTTGATGGACATTTGTAGCACCTTTTTGGAGTATCAGATTGTTGTGGCATCGTAGATTCACTTGATTTACTTGAACCATCATTCTTCTTGAATTGTCGCCTGTAATTGCAGTGGGAGAGAATTGAGATTACGTGTGGCCAGGTGTTCATCAGTCAATGCTCTCCCAAGATCAACAATAAAATGACTTTCTTTTTTACCTTTTTTATCAATCTGATTACCAATTTTCTTTTTTTTTTAACATAAGAGACTAAAGTGGTTGCTCCAGTGAAACAAAAAATGTCAAAAAAAATCTATTAGGATGCGGTTGAAATTGTGGTGAATCTAAGGTTTGTTCTTTCTCATCGTTCCTAAATATGTAAGGCCATGTTCTTTCAACTTATCAACTAATTCTACTGAAGTGAATCAATTGTCTGCTGGAATATTTCTTCCAAAGTATGGTCGACTAATCTTTAAAACATATTTTGGGTTGACAGGGATAGTTCTCTCTGTTGACTTGATTGATTATTCTACTTATCCTAAGAAAGAAGTGTTATTTTATAAAAGGAATCTAAAAATAGCGGAAGATAGAGACTCAAGTATGAGCCACGAGCTAACGCTGGCACAAAAAATTCTCACCCTTCTGGACGGGCTGGGCGGAATCCGCCCACACATGCAAATTTAACCCCCCCTCCCAAAACTGAAATTTATAAACAATGGATGGAAAATGTTTGTATCACTGTAAAATTAGAATACATGAAAGCTGGTAGCTCTAGGTAAACGAAAAATATATTTTTTTCCTATATTGAATTTATGCATGGGCAGAATCTACCCAACCCGTCCAGTTAAGGGTTAAAAATTCTAAAACACTATACTTACTGTCCGGAAAAATCAACAGCCAGTGTGCCGAGGTATTCACATTCCTGTCCAAGATGACTAAGGACAGTGCATGTATTGGCTGCATTACCTCCTCTCCTCCACTCATGGGATAAACACCTGGGCACACAGTCAATTGGATGTAACTCAAACTCCAGGATGTAAACAAAGAAGTGAGAGACCTTCTAACTTATATTCAAAAAATAAATAATCTATTAAGGTTTCTAGAACAAAAGTCCAAGATGTCAATTTCCCATAGGCCCCTCTGTGAGTAACTTTATCCCTGACAAACTCAAGTGCTGTCTGATGACATAAAACAGGGCTAATCATCCGATACATATATGTAATATTGTTGCAAATGATCCTATTGACGTATGGATAAACTGGAAGTCGTGTATGTGAGGCGAGTGTTGATGTTCTTCCCACACGCGACAACAAGAAGCAGAGGCAGGGCTAGATGTTAGCACCGAGAGTGATCGGGGACAGCCCACAGGACAGAGGTTGAGACCATGACACAAACTTGGATACCTATCACCGAGACATGGAGAGAGAGACAGAAGCGGTCTGCCGCTGGACACACTGTAGAACATACTGCTGCTGACCCCCTGCTCAAACCTGTTGACAGGGGTCATTTATCTAAAGCCCCTGGAGGGGTCCTCATCTGGGCTGGGCGTTGCCTTTTTCCTCCCCTCTGGCCCACAGCTGACCGCTCTTTGGATCTTCATTTTGACGTCACCATTTTTAGTTTAAATACAAATAGGGGTGTACAGGTTATATTAATAAAGATATAGCATATATATACAAAATATGGGGGTGGTAGTAAATAGGAACAGTGTACATTTTAATAGAAGGTATGATCTTATAAAGTATCGGCTCTAACTAATTGGGAGATATGTGAAATATACTAAAAGTGTCATTATTATACAGTTTAAAATATACTATATATATGTGATAATCTGTATATAGGAATATGTAACCCCACCACAATCTATGCAAAATGTATCGTCAAAAGGTTTCATAAAAGTTAAGCCTCGCGAGAAGGGAAAAAGAACAATTAACAGGATTGCATCATCCAGGAAGTAAAGGTCACTACCCTGGACCCCCATAAAACTTAAGTTCAAAGGCCTTCTTCCTGGAGGATTGCAATCATGGCGACAATGGAGGTACTAAGCCAATCACATTTAAGCATGACAAATCAACAACCAATCACCTTTAAGCATGACCAATTGATAGCCAATCATCAGAGAGCACGTGGAAGGATCTCCACCAATGAGAAGTCGAGAGAGTTAATGACGATGATCTCGGACAAGAAGTTAGAAAGAAGGTAGGTGACCGTGCTACGAGCTAGGTGTGCTCAACATAGGCTTCAAACAAGGTAGTGTCCGCTCCATCATGTGAAAGGCCAAATACCTCCAGTCTCATCATTCTCCCTTTCGCAAGGTCTTTTCTACCCCATCCAGCTGTGCTCGTTCTTCCCTTGTGGAAAAACCACCATTCGACCAAGACTGCGCCCATCACCAAAATCACCCCTTATCACCCAACTTCACAATTCGACAGTGAGTCCACAGCAATCCCACAGTAAGTCAACACCCCAATTCGACCGAGAGTCAATACGAGTCTATACATTTTATTTGAACTTGATTACAGGATGAATGTTACAGACTTGTTCTTGCAGACATTAATTTTTTAATTTGCATCTTTAAAATTCAATATGGGTCTTTTTTCTCTAAATGTACTTTTGTGAAAATAAACTATGATGATATATAATATCTGATATATATTCCATTTTGAAACATTACCAGTTCCTCAGGGCAGCTACAAAGAGGGAAAATAATTGTTCACAGCTGTTAAGTCAATGCTCTATATCACAGAAACAAAGGGTCCAGTTGCAGACATTCCTTGCAGAGATATCCTCTAGTGGGATTTTCCTCTCAAGGAGGTTCTACTGTATATACAGTCCAAATTTTTTAATTCAATACCCCTAGGGGGCCATAATTCTTAATAGAAACACAAGTTATTTATTTATTTATATGGATTTGTCATCTTATTATATATTGTGTTTTAGTCTGGTTATTTTAATGCAATTTTCTTATGCTGTTTTATACATGATTATCATTCATTTTTTCATGAATATTGTAAGGACTATATGCACACACACATTTTTGGTATATATAATATCTACCTGAAAATAATTGCATGTCTTTATGGTAATTTTAAATTTATCAAAATATTATGTCACTTTTACATCAAATTTATATACATTTGAGTATTACCAACAAATATTAAATTCATATTTACATTTCATATTTAAAAATTTGTCGATAGGCCACAAAACTACTAATCAGTAGCACAGACGTAGAACACGTGATCCTAACAAAGGGTTGAAAACTATAACCCACTAAAAGTTTCAATTCTTAACTAAAATTCAACAGGCAACCAACAAATGGTAAACAACAGCTGAAAAACACCGAGTATAAATCCTAAGTACTTATTGATTTTGTTTGAATACACAAAACAAATATATTGAGATGAATAATTCTAATCGCCAATATTACCTTTGATCAGAATCCTCATCGGGAAAGTTTTCACATTTAACAACTATGTCTAAACAACATAAGCCAACACATAAAATATTTCTTTTGCTTTCGATAAATTTTGCCATTTTCTATTAGTATTAAATGTATCCTAATAACCAAAAATTATCTTGCGAAGATTGCGTAACAGTACCACAACCCTTTCTTTGAAAAGTTGAAGATTAAAAAAAAAAAAAAGCAAGTATTTATTTTATCCTAAAATTAAATTGGGCAAACAGAATTCATGTTATTTTAGAACCTGATAAATGTGATGTAAATAAAAATTCCCTAAAAAAATAATAAAAAGTATTAATCTAAAATATTTTTTGAAACACAAAAGAGACGATGTATATATCTTAAAATGGGCCGTAGTTGGCGATTTATGCTCCTGGAGCCTTGGTTACCTCTATTTTATCTCTTAAAATGTAAACTTTTATCACAGTCCCGCTATTTGTGTGCGCCTAGATAACAATAAATCAAAATTTATTTCCTATATAAAATTAAGTATAATCGGCTTCTAAATTCCATTAGATTCTGTATATAACTTTTCCTAATGGTTGAAAATGGTTTTAAATTATATGTTGTAAAATAGTGACCAAATT